GACTAGTTTGCTTGTAATTTGGTGAAAATTTTCTAGACTAGATCCAAATAGATGTTTCACGATAAATTATGGTTTAGAAGGACGGTCACTGAGATATTGTTTAGTTCCTGCGATTTTCAAAAATTTTCTTTCCTGACTTAAGTTTGTTTGAGGACAAACAAAAAGGTAAGTCTGGGGGAGTTGATAACACCGCATTTTGACCACTTTTATGGATCATAATTGTATCTTATGCAGGTGTTTTAACTCTGTTTTCAATGGTTTTTAAAGTGTTTTCAATGTTTTAGAGTTTCAAAAGACTTTACAGGAAACTTGGGCAAAAGATATGCAATTTGGAACAAACGAGCAATTTTGGATAAATGCAGACCGTCAGAAGTATGACAAGCGATGAAGACCTTCTCACCGTCTGATCACCCCCAAAATTTGAGACACCATAGAGGATCCAACCAGCTTTCTAATGCACTTGGTTTGGAGACAGTCCAATGGTTAGATCTTAAGATACTCCCGATGCAAGAATGACAGAAAATGTAGTTCCGGAAGAGAGCCATGTGCCGAGACCGCGGCCAACACCTGTTTTCCCGCGGGTAGAGCCACTGCACCGCGGAACTTGGTCGTTCACTTTCCAGACGACTTAATTAAAGCTCAGATCAATTCCTTTCGTTATTTTTGAAGCCCTAAGTGTCCAGGACCTCCCCAGAAGCTATAAATACCCCCTTTAGGTCATTCTAAAGGGTGTGTTCTTTTCTGTACTTAGATTTTCGTGAGACACACAAACCCTAGAGAGAGAGAGAGAGAGGCCGCCGCTTAAAGGAGGAGCCGCTGTTGGAGGAAGTCATCGCGCCTCCGTCTGCTTCTCCGTTCTTCGTTTTTCTTCCTTCTTTTCTTTAATTTCCTGCACTTTCAATACTCTATGATGCTTTGTTACAATATGTTTGAGTAGTTACCCAGTTGGGTTTAAAGGGGATTGTTCAAAGGGAATTTCATGTGTCTTTGCTTATGAATCGATAGATTTAGGATTATTAATCTTCTAGATGTTATTCGTTTGCCTTTAATCGTACTGCGTGATTCTTTGCTGGCCACATAGAAGCTGATCTGATATGATATGTTGCGAAAGCTTTCATTGATTGTCTGAACTAGGGTGAAACGAGCAATTCTTCTATAGGAGTGGAAACCTACCTATAGTTGAGTTGTGAATGTTGATGAGTCTTGTTCTGCTATTGCATCTTCTCCCTTTCAGGATCAGAGTGGAAACCTACTGATCAGGGTTGCGAGAGATAGTTGTTTAGGCTACTCATACTTCCGGGCCTCGAGTTCTAGAACATACTTAGTTGATTACCTTTATCATATGTTAAAAATTGACATAGCTTAGACCATGAACCCCTGCGAATTACCCTTGAGCCCCAACGTTTGTCTTGAATTGCTTACAACCTTTGATTTAGTTTGCTTTTCAATCGCTATGTACTTGCTTACATTCGCTTTGTTTAATCGCTTTTTACTTGCTTTACTTGCTTTTGTTTTTCAATTGCTTTTACTTGCTTTGCTTTCTTGTTTAAATTTTGTGACAACCAAAACCCAAAACCAAAACCCAAAACCTATTTAGTTCTAGTCTAATTTAAGCGTTGCCGTGAATTCGTACTGAAACAACTAAGTCTCTGTGGATCGATACCCTAAGTACTACAGCGCACATCTGTGCGCTTGCAGACATTTAGGGGTTATAAATTTAAAACCTGAAGCTTAGTAAAACGAAAACAACAACCCCGCGTTTGCTCGACATCAGGGATCTTGGGAAACACTGAGTGGAAAAGAGAGAGTTTGAGATGAGAACCAGGGGATGGAAAAGAAAAGAAATCGGTTTGGGGTCTGTTGTTTAAAGAAAGAAAGCTCTTGTGTTTTGAAAAGTAAAGTCTAGCCTCTATGTGAAAAGAAAAGAAAAGAGGCTAGACAATGCTAAGTGAGAAGGAGCTAAGTGAAAAGGTTTAGAACCCAAAGCCTGAATTTGAAAATGAAAAGATGAATCCCCTGGTGAGAAAAAATATTGAGAGTGAAGTGAGAAATGGGTTGAGAAGGCAATGAATGCCTTGAGAGAAGGGTAGCCTAGGTGTGTTCTTCATGAGTGCAGAGTTAAGGTGAAAGACCAACTTGGGGCATTGGGTAGATGGGATTCTACTCTTGTATGCATCAGTTGCCTTTTACCCTTAGCCTTCTGTTAAAGTTTATTCCTTCTTGAGTGATCCCTTGAGCTGCATTACCCATTAGCTTTGAATGAGATCATCTTTGTCTCATAGCCTCACCCCTTAGCCAAATGAGTTCACATGGTTTGCATGAGCATGATCCACATGATACTTATATGAATGTCAAAGGGCTGGAGTTAGGAATTCTTGTGAAGGTGACACTTGAGTTTGGTTCACTTGGTGACGAGCATGGCTAGTTTTTATGAGTACACCAGTTTGTATTGCAATTTAGAATTAGTAACTAGGACCATGAGTTGAACTCTTTTGATGATTACTCTCTCTCTCTTTAAGAAATGTGAACTCCCAAGCAATCAACCTCTCTATCTCATTTGTTCTTTTTGCTTGAGGACAAGCAAAGGATAAGTGTGAGAGAGTTGATATATTCATAAATTGCATCATTTAGTGTACATATTTAAGTCCAAATCATGTCTCATTTGCATACATTTTAGGTCTTTAGGCATTCTTTTAGGACTTTAGAGATTCCATTAGGTCCAAAAGAGTTTTGCATGGTTTGGAGTGTTAAACAGGTGCTTATGGAGCTTATTTGAGTGGAGAATGTGATTCAGATGAAGAAATGGAGTTGAAATGATCAAAAATGGTGTAGAGGAGCAATTTTGAAGTTCTCGGCAAAATGCCGTACTGATAGTCGAATATTCTCGGCCACAATCCTTCCTGCGGGTAGATCTCTCGGCCAAAAACACGTACTGGCGGTCAAGTTTCTCGGCCAAAAATCTCGGGTGCAGATACATCTTAGAAATCACGTTACTGGAAGGTCTTTCTGTCCGATTCAGCTGTCGAGGGCTTCATGAAAGTTGGAGATAATTTAGTCAAGAACCCAGAACAGTTTGAATCAGAGCATTTAAAGCACTGAGCTGAAAGATATGGCCACCGGAAGACGAACATGTCTCGCACTCATTCCGGAGAAATCTGATACGCCTCAAAGACGTCGTTACTGGGAAGCATTCCCCTATGATTTGGTTTACAGAGTCTTCATGAAAGTTAGAAAAAATTTAATCACGGATCCAGAGCAGGTAGAATCATTGGATTTGGAGTTGTTATCACAGATTTTATTTCAAGTTTTAGTCTAGTATTTTTACTCTTTCAATCGATTTTCATACAAGCAAATTAGGTATAGCTGTTTTCTCGTTTTAGTCTATTTCATTAAGTTTAGTTATTAGATCATTTTCATTCCCGTATTTTCTCATTAAGATTAGTTTTTACGTTTTAAAGACACCACCAAAACCCTTATAAAAATCGCCTGGTTTTAGACTTCCTTACTATATATTTCTTTTGAAGGCTTTTGCATGACGTGGATTCAATCCCTAAGTACTACAATCGATCAGCTGTGCACTTGCCGCTATTGATTTAATTTAGGGTAAAACTTGACACCCTCACCACACGACACATCAATCAACGATTGAAAGATGATCTAGTTGATCATATATGTAATTTGTATGTTTAAAATTTCTGTTAATCAAATAAAATTCTGGTTGTTGAAGTTTATTATGTTTTCAACATTTGAAAAAATAAATATATATGAAATTAAATATTTTCAAAATTTAATATTATTTTATTTATAAGAACCTAACATGGAGTTCACTAATGGAAGAGAAAAATAAAATAGGTTTTTAAATTTTCTAAAATCAGAAAAAATAATTAAAAAATGCTATGAACCCCAACCAATGGCGGAGCCAACCCTTGTGGACCTGGGTCAGCTGACCCACGTGGAATCAAGAAAAAAAATTAATTGTTGCATTAGTAGTATTCCACATCGACAAGTAGTGTTATTTAGAAGGAGAAGTTTCACTATAAATAAGATTCATCTTGAAATATTATTTATAAGTTGTGGATCCATTCTAATATAATTTAGAAACTAAGCTCTATATTAGTGTTTTTTTTTAAGGGGAAGTTGTATGTCGATCAGCAAGATAAGTTTCAAGTAATTAAATGAAACTTCCCTTTTATTTTTAAAAATCTCTTAAGATATGGCTAAGTTGCTTGACTGTCTATTTTAAGCAATTTAAAATATAGACATCAACTATTCATGCTTCTGATAATAGTACACGATTTTTTAAAAAAAATATTATGCTACAAATTTTAAATATTAAATTATGATTAACATATTTTTGTTTTGGTTTACATGTAGGTCGTGATGTCAAACATAGTGGAACCATTTTTGAAAAAAAATCTCCACCATCTAATATAAATCCAGCAAAGGGAAAAAACATTCAACAGTCAAACACAATAGAAAACACAATGGAAAACACAATGGAACGGTTTCTGAAGAGAAGATCTCCACCATCTAATATTGAATTTGATGATTTACCAGATGATCCAGCAAAGCGAAAAAACATTCAAGATTATCATCCTCTTTAAAGACGACCTCGCGTAATAGCATTGCTGATGAATTTTTAAGCGATTATCTAGTTTGTTTTATTGAAAAACATGTACTTGAAACTATCACAAATGAATACTATGATAAAACGATTTCAAAATATGAGTGAGCGTAGAGTACATCTTTAAGATGTTTATCAATGGTGATTTTTTTCTTTTTCCATTAAAATTTATACAATTTTTTCTATTCTGACCCATGTCAATAATTTTTCTGCCTCCACCACTGACTCCAACATAGGGTTCACTAATGGAGATGGACAAAAACCATGCATGAGTGGCAGTAGTATTTTTTAGTACAAGAGACACTGAAGCAAATATTTTCATGGTGGAGCAATTGCCACCTACAGAATCCTAAACTTAAGGGTTTTGGATCCGCTCTTACTCCATGGGACGAATTATAGCACCTTTAACTAGAAGCCCTGTCATCCGAATGTTAGACTGGTGTTGATACAAATAGAAAGCGATCTTCTCTTTATGCAGCTGTGCATCGAAAACGCCGGCCTGGATATCAATCCACTCATTTCTTACGAGATCAATAAATTGAAATTCCCGCTCTTGCAGGCCGTTATCGGGCACCATTAGTTGCGCTGTTGCCGGATTGTCCCATCTAGTCATTGTTTCCTCTACTTTCACCACAAAGACCACCTCGTATCTTGTCCCGTATATCAATTCTTTGGTGTCGAACTTTCCGCACACTTCTAGATAATAACATCTTTTCATCTTTGCAACTTCAATGGCCACCTCACTGAGACATAACAAAACCATCAGATTTTTTACCCGATTTGTCACGTCTTAAATTATATAAACTTAGAAGATACTCCATTTAGGAGAGTCTATTCTTTCATATGGATTTACTTAGACTTTAATATGGATTTGCAAATAATTACGATTTACCCTAAAATTATTTCTTTCCATTTTGTGATATGGTTTGTACTTTGTACTATTGCTCTTGCACACGACCATAATTTAAAACGCATAATGGATGGACAGATGGTGTCAACATTTATATATACTATGAACTAGTAAGAAAACTCTTACTTGGGTGGCTCGGATATAGACTCGAAGGTCCAATATCTGGCATTGTGCGAACCGCTTATTTTGAGTTGCCTTACATTGAACACGGCACGCTGGCGATTTACGTCAGGCTGTGGTATTTGAGTTGCCTCGGTCTGTCCTCTCTGATTTGAATTTCCTCCGATATATTCCAGCACTCTCTTAACCTCCACGACTATTGACTTTATGAATTCTCTCTCTGTCCTGTCACTATCATAAGACATCGGCCCGATCCACAGCATGAGTTAGTGAAACCTCCATTCGGTTTGATAGGCATTCACAAAATTTGTTGCTAGACCTTCTATCAATGTTAATACGTTAAAAAAGTGTACATTCATTTTATAAACATGGTGCACAGTTTCATAAATTCATTATGATTTTGCAGGTAAAATGCGAAGAGAGACATATTTTCAAAAATATAAATTTTCTTATATTCTAATTCTTTTTTTACAAAGGGCTATGTATGGTTTTTTTGTGAAGTTTAACTTGATTCTTCTTATATTACTATCAATTGTAATCCTGGATAGTATATAAAAAGAACACATCTTTTAAGTTTGTGTACGACATCTAGAATATTCGACCGGCACATGATGTTGCATTGGGTTCACAAGTACCACCACATGAGAAGAAGATAAAGAACCAATCATAGGGTATTTGTCCAAGGGTATATGTCCAAGGGTATATTTCTCCTCCAATTTTTTTTGTCCTTTCACACAGCGCCACGTGTAGTTTAGATACGTCTCTCGCATCTCCTAATTAAGAGACATTTCTGGCAAATTTATTCCTTTTTGATTTAATTAAATTCATTAAAAATCAAAGAAACCCATGCAAAAAATGCCATTGCACATGCTCTTACGTTCTTATATTAAAAAAAAAAAATCAATTTGTCATAATAATATATGGGAAATTGCATTGTATAACCATCCAACATATTATATTTAGCTCACTGAACATATTAAACTTTTGGCTATTATATTCTCTGTGTAACATATATAATTACTTTTTTACCTTTGATCATACATGCAAGAGAGCATCTAATTTCTTTTTGTTTTTTTTTCTTCTATTATAAATAGGTTTTCCCCTTCTCACTTAATTTATTTAATTTTAATTTTACTCAACTTCAATTATTCAATTTTTCAGATTTACTATGATAGAGTTTCAAAAAATTTCAATAAACAAAAATATTCAAAACACTTATATGTACTTTAAAAATGGTAGTATATATAGAATGCATAGACTACCTATACTAACTTCCTCAATATAGAAAGATTTCTTTATCGCCTTATGAAAGGGAAGAGAAAATAGATTTGTATAGAACGTGAATTTTTATTTTCAATATTGGAGAATAGTTTTTATGTGTATAGAATGTTTAGTTTTTTTTTTTTTTTGCAGTCTTGCAGTTTTGCAATTGGAATGAGCTTCCTTTCCTTCGTAATTGGAATGTCTTTTTAAGTATATAGAACTTTTATTTTATATAGAACATTTATTTTGTATAGAAAGTCTTCTTTATTACTTGTGAAAGAAAATAAAACGTATATTTTTATAGAACGTCTATTTTTCAATATTGAAAAATGTTTTCTATATGTGCATAGTCTTTATTTTTTTTGCAATTGTGCAATTTGATTGAGCCACATTTCCTATGTTATTGAAACTGTCTTCTTTAAATGTATAAAAACGTCTATTTTGTATAGAAATTTATTTATTTATATATATTTATGTAAAACGTGAAAAAGAAGAGGATATATATTTATATAAAACATCTATTTCTTTTTTTTAATATTTTTTTTATGTGTGTATAGAACATTTATTTACGTTACTTATTGGACAATCTAAAAGGCTACGCGTCTGAAGTGCATCTCCATCATATATCTCTCTTATATGCCAGCTTATGGCCTTTATCGCGAAGGAAAAATTGTCTATAAAGAATTGCTTAATTTTAGTATGTCCATGACTATATTTTTAATATTAATCAAGATTTAGTTATTAACTTAATTATCCCATAGTATATCATCTTACGAACAATTTGTGGTAATTTATCAAAAGAAGAATTATTTTACGATTTGGACTCTTCAACTGAAGCCCTTCAACTACACCTACTTGGGTCTAATCGGACTTGTCACCGTCAAAAGTACGAGTTATTTACTACTTGCCAGTCTATTTTGATATCTATCTATATACTTATTTGTGTAATGATTTGCTTACGTGTTACGATCACAGCAAGTTTCACAGCTTTTGCTTACGTGTCAGCTCCAGAATGAATTTCGACTGCAAAAAGACCGTTTAGCTTTATTTAGCAATTACATATCATTTTTAATTATTTTCTAATTGATGATATGTAAGAAAACTTAAAACGAACCGGTTTAAATTAATATATTTTAATGTTTATATCTATAGTCAACCAAACAGTTTTTGAAATTCTATAAAACCGAAATTTAGAAAAAATTTTAAAAAACATAATTTCTAAAAAAAAATTGTATCTCACAACTTTTTGCTTACGTGTCAGCTCCAGAATGAGTTTCGACTGAAAAAGACCGTTTAGCCCTATTTAGTAATTACATGTCATTTTTAATTAGTTTCTAAATGATGATGTGTAAAAAAAACTTTAAAATGAACCGGTTTAAATTAATATAGTTTAATGCTTAATTCCATAGTCAACCAAACCGTTTTTAAAATTCTATAAAACCAAAATTTAGAAAAAAATTAAAAAAAAAATATATCTCTTAGTGTTTACCATATTTCTTATGTTTCCAAAATTTAGAAAAAATCTAACAAAAATGTTAAATGAAACAAAAAATGGAATCTATTTAAAAAGCTATAGAATGTCATTTTTGAAATTCTATAAACCCAAAATTTAGAAAAAAACTTTAAAAAACGTTTTACGGCGTGTTTCACAGCTTTTTGCTTACGTGTCAGCTCCAAAATGAATTACAGCTATAAACAGACCGTTTAGCTCTATTTTACAATTACGTGTCATTTTTTTGATTGGTTCTTATCTGATGATGTGTAAAAAAAATAAAACAAACCGGTCTAAATATGTTTTAATGTTTAATTTCATAGTCAATCAAACTATTTTTAAAATTATATATAACCGATTTTTTTTTAAAAAAAAATTAAAAATTTTTTTTTTGTAAAAAAAAATAGAATCTATCTTAGTGTTTTCCATTTCTTATGTTTTCAAAATTTAGAAAAAAAATCTAACAAAAATGTTAAAAGAAACAAAGAAAGAAACTATGTAAAAAGTAATGGAATATCGTTTCAAAACAAAAAAAAATGAAATATAAAAAGAAAAAAATCTGACAATTTTTTTAAAAAATATATATATATATATATATATATATCTAACTAATGGAATGACGGTATTTGAAACACATAAAACAAAGATCAAAATCGAATAAGCTCATACGAACCTTAAAAAATTACGTTTAAAATACATAAAACAGTGATCAAAAGATCTCAAAACTATTTAAACTAAATTATTTGGATACTACTATGTTTTTATTTACTCTCTTCTATTTTATATTGTTTTCACGATAATGTTTTCCAGCATTAAAATACAAGGAAATCTAACAAACAAATATACTAAAAAAAAACAAATGAATCCAAACTATTATTACATTTTCAAACAAACAAATGGAAATTATATCAATCCGTAAAAAAAAACCAAATGAATCAAGGCGCGAGAAAGTTAACTAGTAACATATTATTTAGACACAACAATAGAGGACAATCATTAGTTATACCTAATTAGCCATTGTGCAATTTGCTTTGAAATTACATATTTCAAATATTAGTTGGGATTTCGATTAAGGTTGTCAAATTATTTAAGGAAACAATGAAGAAAAAGGGGAGGAACCTGTATTCTGGAAAAGTCAAACCAAACTTTTGGGGAACAGATGCTAATGCTTCCTCCCATTTCCGGGTTCTTTCCGGATCGTTTTTATATCTGCTCTTTAGATTCATGAAATTTTCTCCAAAGTAGCCCTGAAGATGTTTCACTACGGAAGGTTCTACCTTATAGAAGATGGGAATCACTTCAAGATTGCCTAGATCCATGCATTCTTTGATCTTTGCTAGCTCGTCCAAGCACCATTCTGAATTGGTGTAGTCCTTGGAGAAGATCACCAGCGCGATTTTGGACTCTTTGATCCTCACAAACAGATTCTGTAGATCCCTGCCTCTCAGCTCCAGTACGTCTATGAAAACGTTTATATATTCGTTTTTCAAGGCTGGCTCGAGGAAGCTGATGAAGCCTCTGCGTAGCTCTTCTCCCCGGAAATTAACGAACACTTGAGGTCGTGTTGACCTCAATCCCATATCAGAAGAAGAAGCCGCCATGATCAAGTCTTGTTTGTGTTATGATTCTTGCTTAATAAATGATCTCGAGGATAGTTATTTGATTCTTTCTTACTAAATGATCATCGAGTCTTCTTCCCAGTCTCCATAAATTATTTAATCCCAAGCGTCAGATTTAATATTGCAACTGGAGAGAATAAGTCCATAATTGTCTTCAATGCTATTAAACTACAATTTAGTTGAATTTTACAAATTAGATTCCACTAAGACTCTAAGTAGTTAAGATGGACAAAAGATCTTGATCCGACAAATCAGATATATTCCAGAAATATGGTATGAGTTCACGGATGGGTAACTTGATTTAGAATAAGTGTAAATGTAAGAGATAAGAATAGGAATTAGCACACAACGTAACACAGGATTTTTCTATACTTGAAAATGTATCATTAGTATTCTGTTAAGAGACTATACAAGTTTGCTCTAACACGATTTAAAACAAACTTAAAACATACCTTGATTTGCCGTATAGCCTCGTCTGTTCTTAGATATGTACGCGATCTAAGAACTTCCCTAAAGAACCCCTAAACCCTTGATGAATACATCTTATAAGAATCTCTTACTCTTATGCTAAGTGCTCTCTACTAGTTGTGTTAAGCACATACAATGCTTCAACACTGCTACCTATATCCAGTAGACACAATGGCTATAGAAAACCCTACTTGGAGAAAATTCTAAATCTCCAAGCATATCTTGTTTCCTTAAACTTCTCCCAAGTTTAAAGAAATCTTCCATTCTTCTAGATCCTCTCCGAGACCCTTGCCCAGCTCCCCTACGTCTTCACATCTCGCATCCTGGTTGGTCCAGCTCAGCCACACATCCAGCTCCACTTCCGTTCAAGCTCCAAGTCGTAACTTGCTCTGCACTCCATGCCTGTCACTCTGTGCTCCAGCTCTACTGGTACAACAACTGATTCAAGCTCAGCTACATCTCCAATCTTTTAGCTCTCTGTGTCTCAAAAGCATCTGTCACAACATACAAGACACATAGCCAACCAACACACACAAAGCATACATAGCCAGAATTCCAAAATGACTGAAATGCATCAAATATAAGATGAAAATCCAAACAACATTGTCTTCGTCGAAAAGAACCAGCCAAAAAGAGTTAAGGAGAGCTAACATATCCCGAACAGAAAATAAAGTCTCTCTTTAATCCCCCAGACTTCTAGCCTAAAGTACAACCACTCTTCCACAGCTCAAGCACCCGCACCATCATGTGGATTCTCATCCCGTGGATTCTCCTCTCCCCCTGCCAAGCACACAAATTAAAAACACAAATCAATAGAAATTAAGCTTATGTACTCGAGTCGGGAGACTTACTTGCAATTGAGTCGATCAGAATATTGACACTGTAGCTGAGATGCTCCAGTGTTCGACTCACATCTCGTAAAAACAGGGTAACCTGATTCACACTTGCAGGAGCTGTTGGCACTTGAATGATCCCCAAAGGTACTTCTTAGACTGTGGCTGATGCAGAGGAAGATGGCTCATGGTGATGGCACTCTGAACAACCGAAGTGGTGGCTCTTGCGATTGTGAAGAAGGACGGTTTTCCTCGGATCTCTGTTTTCCTTTCCCCTTATCTCTTTCTGCTGCAGCTCCCTCCTTCTTGATTAACTCTTCACCATTTTGGGAGTCCATCTTGTACCATAATGGTACAATGTGAGTTTATCCTTTTCCTAACTGTGGATCATGCTGAAAGTTCAGAATCTTCATGATCAAGCAGGGAAACAACAACCACCGTGTATCACCTCTTTCGATTTGGCTCAAACCCATTATCTGCTTGAATACCAGCATTCCAAACTCAACTCTTACCCCATTGCTGGTCTTGTAGACCAACCTAGCTCGCTCTTCAGAGATGTGATGCTTGTTGGTGGAAGGAATCCAATTGAATGCAGCAATCACAATCATATCTGCAAAGTAAGGTGGCAGATCTCGTGAACACAATCCTGACCACTCATACCTACATACCATTGACAAGTGCTTCGCCACCTCAGACAGATGAATGGACTCAGCACTCGCTTCCTCCTGAATTTATGCATCAGTCAGTGGATCAAGGTTGAGCACCCTATTGATCAGACCTGGTGAAAAGGTGTACACAAAACTTCTTAGATTGTCTCGAATGTTCTGATCTGGCTCATTGGGTAGTTCAGAGGGTAACCCAGCATAGAATTTCTGGATCACTTGCGGTACATACGGAGCAAGTCCTACCACAATCGGCTCCATTCCACAATCCCCTATCAGCCTAATGTAATCCCACTCATCCTTCTCACCTACATCAACAACTCGCTCAGACCAAAGATCTCAATAAACACAAATGACCCTAGTCCACGGTCTCCTTCATGCAAAACCTAGACAACCTAAATCTGGATCCCGGTCAACTAGCTCTCTACATTCATTAAGAATTTTCATAAGCTTCTCGTTAAAGTCATCATCCAGGGTAGACGGCGTTTGATATTAAAGTGCTATTTAAGTGGTGGAGTTAAAGTGTTTAGGGTTACCTGAAGATCTGGAGGATGCTAGATAATATGCAAAACCACAAGAGAAAACGGACCTATTGATGTCCACAATTTTTCAGTCACTTCTCCTTGCTAGATGGTGTCGTAAACTTCCTCCTTCTTGATGTTAACTCCATAGCTCCCCCAGACTTAGATCTTTTCCGGGAATCGATAAGATGATCTTCCGGACTCCAAAAATAAATGAATCAAGGTTGCCTCATAGACAAATCGACCAACTTAGACTCTCCTAAGGTTTTTATTTCCTTTCCTTTCTGATTTTTTTTCTCTTTTATTTATGATTTTTTTTAAAAGGAAAACACATTTTATTGAGAAAGAGTCTAAAGGGCACAAAAATATACCATGATTTTGAGAATTTCTGAGGCAAGTTTTCTTATTTGTTGAATCACTCCCATAAATCACAAAGTCTCCTTCTTCAGTGACTGAAAACTGCGTCGTTCATATTTCTCTTTGACGTTTTTGCACATATCTACATATAAGACAATGAAAAGCAAGTGTGTGGGGTTTGAAAGAGGTAGGGAAAGGTGGAGAACTAGCTAAAGATGAACTAGCCTCTAAAGATCAGCAAAAAGTGGTAAAAAAATATAAGAATTCTTGAATGTATGATTCGTTTCCATGGTCTAATGCTTTCAAAAAGAAAATTAAGTCCATAGTAAGTTCCAATAAAACAGAGCTAGTATATTCTATCATCTAAATCTAAGCAACCTAAATTCCTCTAGGGTACTGCGGTTCATAAGTGCTAGCTACCACCTAGTCTAAGCCTAAATCACAAAAGAGCTAAAACGAGGAGATAGCGTAGAAGCACTCTGTTTCTTCTGTCCCTGGTTTGAAAACTTTTTGAAAAATTTTGAAAAATTTATACGTCCAAAACAAACTAAAAAAAAATCAAAACAAATCAAATCTCGTTAGTAACGGATGAACATCCTCCTCTAGACTTAATTTACAGTGTCCTCAGTGTGATAAAATCTAAGAAAGGATGGATAAGAAAGTAGAAATTTGAAATGTTTAGATGTACTTACCTTGCCGGAAGAATGAGTCGCGGTTGGAATGATGGTGCTGCGGGTCGAAGTCTCTCAACTGCGGTCGTGAAATGATGTGCTGCGGTTGGACTCAACGGGGCCACGGTGGTGGCTTCTTTCCGGTTTATGATTTTTGGTCGTCTTCTATTCGTTCTTCTTTGTAAAAAAACTGCAATTAAATGAAACAAAAACAAAGCAACAAAAATAGAACATAAAGATCAAAGGGAAATAAGTAAAATACTGAGTGAGTTACCTCCCACTAAGCGTTTGTTTTAAGTCATTAGCTTGACTTGGTCGTTTTTTAGGTGTTAGGCGCATCTGCTAAGGAAATCGGATCTTCCTTTTCTTCTTCAATGTCTGCACCTTAAGACGTTGTCCATTGACAGTGAAATCACCTCCTTGATGGTTTCAGAGAATGAAAGGACCATAGAGTAAAACTTCTTTGATTTTGAAAGGTCCAAACCATCATGATTTAAGCTTCGTAGGAAACAGTATTAGCTTTGAGTTGAAAAGTAGAACCTGATCATTAGGTGAGAACGTCTTATGAACTATCTTCTTGTCATGATACGTCTTAGCTTTCTCTTTATAGATCTTAGAGTTCTTATAGTCATTATGGCAAATCTCGTCTAACTCATTCAGTTGAATCCAATGTTTCGCACCGGCTTTCTAGATGTCGTAATTCAGTTTTCTTATTGTCCATTCTGCCCTGAACTCTCACTCTAATGGAAGATGATAAGCTTTACCATAAACAAGATGAAAAGATGTAGTACCCTGTGGGGTTTTAAACGCAGTTCTATATGTCTAGAGAGCATCATCAAGCTTTGTTGACCAATATTTTCTTGTCGGTCCTATTGTCTTTTCCAAAATTTTTTTGAGTTCTCTGTTTGATATCTCCACTAGGCCACTTTTCTGCGGGTGATAAGATGTAGCTACCTTATGTTTCACTCTATTTTTCTTCAAGAGATTCTCAAACAATTTGTTGATGAAGTGAGAACCACAATCATTGATGACGATTCGCGGAACACCAAATCTTGGAAATATGATTTACTTGAACATCTTCATTACTACCTTTGTGTCTTTTTTTGGGGCTAGCTATGGCTTCAACCCACTTAGACATATAGTCAAAAGAAATAAGGATGTAGTTGTTTCCAAAAGATGAAGGGAAAGGACCCATAAAGTCGATTCCCGAAACATCAAAAACTTTGACTTCTTGAATGAAGTTTTGTAGCATCTCATTTTGTTTGCTGGTGTTCCCTTGTTTTTGGCAAGCATCACACTTAGATATGAAGTTATGGGTGTCACTGAACATGGTAAGCCACCAAAAACCAGCTTGTAAAACCTTCGCTACAATCTTATTAGTAGCAAAGTGTCCAACGTAGTTAGATCTGTGACAATGAAAAAGAATGTTTGGAACTTCTTCTTCGGGGATGTATCTTCGAAACAAATTATCTGAACACTGCTTATAAAGATATGGTTCATCCCAAAAGCACATTCTAACATCACGCAAGAAGTTCTTTTTCCTGTAACCAAAGTATCATGGCGGTTTGACATCTGCTGTTAGG